CTTTGTGGTGCCAAGCTGACTCTTCCCTAGCCTCCTGGCTGGCTGGTGGCAGATTTCCTAGCACTGAGCTTGGGTGTTGCCCAGAGGGCCTCAGAGCATCTGGGGGTGACTGGGTGTTTTTGGGCCCAGGGCATGCTTGCTCAGCAAATGAGGACACACAGTTCACTGGAAGTCCTTGGTTCTAGAATCCAGAGGCATCAGAGCTCCCAGGGGCTTGTAAACAGAGATCCCAGGATCCTCCCACTCTGGGGTTCTGGGTCAGTAGGGCCAGATGGGGCCCTGGCCTTGCTGTCCTCACTGGTTCAGAGCTGATACTGCTAGCCCAGGGCCCACACTTTGAGACCCACTGATAAATGGTCAGGGGACCACTTCCAGGAGCCACGACTTGGAAGGTAGACCGTGTGTTTCTAGGGGCTATCAGAAGACACGGCTCTGGACACCTGAGGACATACACAAAAGGACCAAAGGGAGGGGCAGACAAGATGGCCTCAGGAGCACCAAGTTACATGATGTCTAGAACTTTCCAGCTGCGGTAGGGTCATCCGGGAAGGGCCCATGGCTGGGAGCCGCTTGGGCTGGGTTTCAACAGGTAAGGGACTTCTGCTCATACCTGGCACTGTCAGTGTTGTGTTAAAACACGGGCTCCTGCTGTGAAGGGGAGGAGGGGGGTCTCTGTCCTGTTCCTGGGTCTGGGTGGGCTTGGGGCTACTTAGACCAGTCACACGCTGGTGAGCCATACATGTGATGCGACTGCTCTTCCATCACCAGCAAGGAAGGAGCTGGGAGTTGGTGTCACCATGGTGAGGAGCAACAGGGATGTGCTCCAACAGGGACCACGGTGGCTGTGGGACAAGGAGGGAGTGGGGAGAGCATGGAAGAAGTAGGAGGGGCACCAGACAGTGACAGTGTTCCTGGCTGCAAACCACAGAAAACAGGTGCATCCAGCTGACACAGAATCGAAGTCATAATAGCTGTGCGTCGTAAGAAGCCAAGAGCAGTCAGCAATGGCCGTCACCATCAGTAGCTGGAGGTGATCTTGGGATGGAGGGTGGAGAGCTGAGGACAGTTCCCAAGATCCTATTCTGGCCCCTGGGGTGGGGGCGGGGCAGTGCAGACTGGAGAGGAAGCAGCTGGATCCAGCTCTGGGTGGGCTGATTCAGTGCTCCTGGGAGACCCTAGGGGACAAATGGGCAGGAGACCATTGGAGATGGGGACCTGGCTGCAGGAGCAAGTCCTGGGCTGGATATGGACCTCAGGACCTTTGCTGGGCCGTGATGGTTGCACCATGGGTTTCTGTGTGTACGTGTGGTGGTGGTGGGGAGTGGGAGAAGCACCCAGGTTGATGCTGAGTGGGCATTGCAGAAGTCGTGCAGGGCAGGTACTTCGGGGAACCCCAGTGGGAAGTGAGATGGGGACAGGAAGCCTCCCAGGTTGAGAGCTTCAAAGGCAGAGCCTGAGACAGGGTCTGGAGGCACGAGATTTATTGGAGGTGAGGAGGGAAGGAGGTCCCAGGAGAAAGGGAGGCCAGAGATGGGGCGGGGAAAGGGGCTGAGCAAGGCTCGGACTTGTGGCCTGACCCTCGAGGAGAGTGGATTCTGGAGAAATAACTATAGAGCTGTCCCTTATTGAAAGGGGAGGGGTGGTCTCACATGGTACCTTGTATCAGTTGTCATATGTGGGTGTGTGCTTGTGTGTGTATGTGTGTGTTTATGTGTGTATGTGTATTGTGTGGGTGTATGTGTGTTCATGTGTATATGTGTGTGCTATGTGTATGTGTGTGCATGTGTATGTGTTTGTGTGTATGTATGCATACGTGTGTTTATGTGTGCATGTGTATGTGTGTTTTGTGTATATGTATGTTTATGTGTGTATGTGTATGTATTATGTGTATGTGTATATGTATGTATGTATGTGTGTGTTTACGTGTACATGTGTATGTGTTTTGTGTATATGTGTGTATTGTATGTGTGTGTGTTTTTATGTGTGCATGTGTGTGGTTTTTTTGTATATGTGTGTCTGTGTGTGTGTTCTGGATCAAGGAGTTTTGTCAGTCCAGGGCAATTCTCTCTCCATGAGCGGGCAAGGTGAGCTGCTGGCAGCCCACATTCCAGAAGCTGGGGAAGGTGCCCCCAGGGTCCCTGTCTGTGGGGAGCAAGGGCACCAGGGAAGGAAGCCACGTGGGGCTTGACTGCAGCAAGGAACTGCACCACAGTCCTGCTGGGTGCCTCTGGGAGGAGCAAAGGATGCAGGCTGTTGATAATCCAGCCTGTGTTGGTCTGTGGTCCAGGGCTGCTCACACCTGGTAGTTCTTGGCATCTCAGGCTGGCGGACAAAGTGGACTTAGCCTAGAGAAAGCGGCTGGGCCAGGTGCAGGTTGGGTAGCCAGGCAGGAGATGGGGACGGGGCACAACAGTGCCTGCTACAGAGGCTGTAAGGAGGGCTCAAAACCCAGCCAGAGGCAGAGGAGAATCAGACGGACAGCAAAGCCAGGGACTCCCAAGGTGGCGCTTCTTCCCACCCTGGCGCCCCACGGACTGCTGGCCCCGGCCAGTTTGGCCCATCCAGTCCCAGCCTGAAGCTGTGAAGAGCCCAAACGCACCCAGGCAGGACCGATCCTCGAGAGCCAGTGGCCGGGCTGGAAGCCGGAGGCGCACTCGCGGTTGGGCGATAGAGAGGGCTTGGAAACCTTCCCTGGAAATAATGAGTGGAGAACCCCTTTACTGATTAGTTAAATCCCGGATAATCCTGGCTGATGAAGGCAGAGCCAGACCCCTTAATGGATTTTTAGGGTTCCAAAACGACTTCTTGGGAGTGGCCCCGGGCGATTGGCACGGGGGGTGAGGAGCAGGGAGGCTGGGAGGACCCCATCCTCCCGGCTTCCAAGGCTCAGAGGCGACCCCCAGAAGCGGGAGTACAGGTGGACGCAGCCGCCTGTGAGGCGCCCCGCAGACACGCAGGAGTTGGAGCCCTTCCTCCATCGCTGTGCATACTGAGCGAAGCGCTTGGCACGGCTCTGTACCCCTGGAGATGGGTCCCTGAGCTGATCAGCTGGGGTTAGGGATGGGGTCAGCGCTGGGTCCGGCCGGCGGGAAGCGGTTCTCGCCAGCCAGAGGTACCGTGCGTTCGCCGCCGCCACCCAGCCGGACTGGAATCCAGCCTGCCCTCTACTCGGATCCCCAACGCCCCTAGTGCCTGGTGGGGCTGGAGACGGCGTTAGGCGGGGAACTACGGACGGCCTCAGCGGCCCCCACCCCATTTGCGGTCTCTGCGTCCCCTTTCCACGCATCTCTCGCAGTGCTGCGCTTGTCCCAATTTCTCTTTGAGCGTCCAGTGGGACCAGGTTTATTAGGCTGTTTCTTTCATACGCAAAATGAGTTTGGTAAGATCCTTCGCTGGCCCCAGGCCGGGGTTATCTTGCGGAGCGACCGAGATTGGGATGACCTTGCTCGACCTTTTGTTGTCTGTGCGTCCCTGGCCATCTCCTAGGGGTCCCCAGGCAGCAACTGGGTGCGGAGGAGAGACAGGGGATCCCAGATCCTCGAGCAGCAGACGGTGGCGTGGGCCTCCCGGGCTGCGGACGCGGTGCATGCGTGGGCCAGAGTTCCCTTGAGCGTGGGTCACCTTGGGGCTCCTGTCCCGCCTCTCCGCCCCGGGGCCGGGCTACAGAATGTGTAGAATCGTGGGAGTTTCGCCCAACTGGGACCCCCAGATTCGGCTCTACGAAGGACGACGCCTCAGAGGGGAGCTCTTCGGCAGGGACCGGCGTCCCCAGAGCCTAGTCCGTAAACCCAGAGATAAATTTGGAGGGGGAGGGGAGAGGAATTCCTGGCCGAGCTGAAAACAACGCTGGCGTCTAAAGCCGCTGCCGCCCCCGCCCCCGCCCCCGCCCTGGACAATTACCCCAAAGGAAAGTTATTGTTTTGCTAATCCCAGGAACAGCTTGCCAGAGCAGATTTGGATCTTCCTTTAATAATGGAAAGTTAATGCGTAGCCCCTTGTAATTATCTCGATCGGGAGGCCCGCGTGTAATCCGCTCGTTTAGCTGACGCGCGGCGAGCTGGAGACCGGCTTTGCAAGCTCCGCGCTGCGCGCAGGCAGCCGTGCCGCACCCGGGAGATCCGGAGGGTCCCCCTGGCTCTCTCGGAGACCCCTGGCCGTGGGGACTGCGAGAGACTGCTTCCAGGGCTCTCGGACTGGGCCCAGGGCTCAGAGTCACAGGGATCGGGTGGGCTCAAAGCCCGATCCAGCAAGCGGCTTTACTCACTTGCCTGCTTTGGCGCCAACTCGAACAAAACGCAAACACAACTTTCTTTCAATAATCCTAAAACCTGGCCACGGTTTGTTATCTCCGGTGAGGACTGCGCCCCAGGAGGCACTTTTTAATTCAACTTCCGCCACCACCGTTTAAACGTGTTTATATAAAACGCTGGTACATATATATTTAAATAAAAATAATAATTGCTTATCTGAAATTCTGACTTCACCTGGCCTCTGGCCAGGCACCCTGCTCTGTGATCCACGCCCTTCCCCCAGCGCGTGTGGGTTTTCGACAACTCTCCACCCACCCACTCTAGTGTGGGTTTGGCTGCAGGCAGAGAGCAGGCACGGGTTACTTTTTTTTTTTTTTTTTTTTTTTACCCCATGGGGATTTTCAGAGGTTCCTGCGGTGAAGTTGTAGGGCGAGCGGGGATCACTTTGGTTGTGGATGGGGGGTGCGATGCGAAGGGGCCCTAGGAGTTCATGGGTCGTGTCCAGTAAGCGTGGAGGATCTGGAAGGAAGGGAGGCTGCGCCTTGGACCCACAGGCAGAAGGAGAGTTGTTTTGTCCCTGCCCACACACACAACCCCCCTACCCCCACCCCCACCCGAGAATAGGGCTGGGGCGGGCAGGGGACAGCTGGGGAGAAGAGGGACTAAGGGAGCGACCGCGGGGCCCGCAGCTGCGGGGGCGGCGACCGAGGGGAGGGGAGGGCCGTCGGCCGCATCCCGTCTCTCGGGGTCCCTAACAGCGACGCGCCCTCGCCCAGCTGATTGGAGTGGGCAGCCTAGCCGTATAAAACGTCCTCCGAGCTGGATCACCAACCCAAAGTGACCCAGAGAGGGTCGAGCTTCGCCTCCTGAGACGACATGACCACCGGCGGCGACGCGATTCCCGACGCGCGCGCCCGGAGTCGGGCGCAGGTGCCGGGTCGGTCCCCCAGCGGCTCGCGCCCACGCGGCTTCGCCATCACCGATCTGCTGGGCTTGGAAGCCGAGCTGCCCGCGCCCGCGGGCCCTGGGCCGGGATCGGGCTGCGAGGGCCCAGCGGCGGCTCCGTGCGCTGGCCCCGCACTCGGCGGCTCCTGCCTGGCGCGCGGGGCGGTCCCGTTGGGGCTGGGCCTCCTCTGTGGTCTGGGTGCACCACCGCCCGCCGCCGCTCCGGCGCCCTACCTGCTGCTGGCCGACGTGCCTTTCCTGCGGCCGGCGGGGCCGGAGACAGCCGCCCCGCAGCTCCCCGGGCGCCGGCCGCCCGCGCCGGGCAACCAGAAACTCAGCGAGAGCGCCTCGACGTCCGGTAACCAGGCCCTGCTTTTCTGCCCCTGCCCCTGATCCCGGTGGCTTCAAGCGCGGTCGCTCTCACTTGCGGTCCCGGAGCGCAGGGAAGTCCGGATCCCAGTGGGAGGCGTAATCGCGCCGCAGCGCCGCGGGCCCCAGGGGGAACCCCAATTCTCCAGAATCTGGTGCCCACAGCACTGCAGGGGCCAGATGGAGCCTTGCGAGGAGATCCTGGTGTCTCGGCCTCTACCTCCGCGCCAGGAGCGAGCGGGGATCGGGAAGGCGGGGGCGGGTCCTGTCTACCAGCTGCACTGGCTGCGGGCTGGCAAAAGCTTTCGGGGCCGGGTGCCCAAGAACTGTCCGCCTCTGGGGTGCTGAAAAGGGACCGCGCGCGGAAGAGAGGACGCTGCCTGGCTGAATGAATGCACTATGGCTAACCACAGCGCTGTGGCTAACCTGCGTTTGGTTCTGGGTGCACCTGTCACCCCCAAATCCAGGCAGAGTATGGGGAAAGAGAAGGAAGCGGTGAAACCCCGTAACTGACAAGGACCAAGAAATGGAGAGGCTTGCGTTGCTGGGGGAAGACGAGGGAGAACTACAAGGAAAATGAGGATCTAGGTACCCACGACTAGAACCTAGAAGGGGCAGCCAGGCAGGCAATCCCAGCAAGAAAGTGCCGCGGGTATCGCCAGCCTGGAAAGAAAGCTAGGCAGTAGGCTGCACTTCAAGAGCCTCTCTGTGACCTGGAGTGACCACAACCCTGGCTCTTTTACTTGTTTCCTTGAAAATGCAGAAACCGATTTCATAGGATGGGTTCTTTTTTCCACAGACACTGATAAGAGAAAAGGAGAAAGGAATTAAATCTTGCTTTGTGGGGACATTTCTGGGAGAGCTGACCTGAAAGACATACCCTGTGACCACTTGTTGCGTGCAACTTTGTCTTCAAAGGAAAATAGAAACAAGGGGGATTAATTTAAATGCTATATTTTAAATCCAAGGCATGCAAATATCAATATCAACACTTTACATGCAATCAATATAAAATGTTTTACTTTGTCCACTGAGTATTCTGTGCTTACAGCAGATCTCAACCTGTTTAGCCACGTTTCACTAATGAGCCAAGTGCTCATTAATATTATGTGGCTGGTTGCCACCAGGTTAGCAGCATAGCATGGAATCCTATGTCCAAGCATTTGGTTTTCTGGTGAGCTGATGTAGAAGGATCTAGTGTTATTTTATTATTTTCATCTTTATTCATCCTTTAAAAGCATTTGAAGTGGGACAGCAGGTTAAGCCATTGCTTGTGATACTGGCATCCCACATTGCAGTGTTGGTGGATGTCTAGGCTGCCCTGTTTCCCAACTAGCTTCCTGCTGATGGCTCTGGGAAGAGTCTAAATACTTGGACCCCTGCCCCACCTATGTGGGGTAATGGAATGGAGTTCCTGGCTCCTGGCTTTGGTCTTGCCCAGACCTGGCTGTGGGAGTCATTTGAATGAAATGGCAGATGGAAGCTCTCTCTCTTGCTCTCTATTTCCCCACACCCCCATCGTTCTGCCTTTTGAATAAATAATTATTTTAAAAAACTTGAAGCAATTATACTTTTAAAATTAAAATATATATTGATTTTATTTATTTCAGAAGTAGACACACACACATGCAGAGCCAGACAGGACTCCCATCTACTAATTCACCCCCCCCCAAATGTCCACAACAGCTGGACCTGAACAGACTAAAGCCAGGAACCAGGCATTCAATTCAGATCTCCCACATGAGTGAGAGGGACTTGATTACTTGAGCCATCACCTGCTGCCTCCTACAAATTACACTGACAGGGAGCCAGAGCCAGGACTCAAACCCAGACGTTCCGATGCCCCCACTGGCATTATAATTGCTGAACCAGACACCTGCCTGCAATCATTGTTTATAAACCATGGATCCGACAATACTCTGGTCTTCTTGCCTCTCTTTCCATCTGGACCTTTTGATGTGATGGCCATCAAAAGATGAGGCACAAGTGGAGTGGTTCTCCCAGGGCATCTGGGAACCACCCGACCCTGCCTCCAGGGGTTCTGAACAGGGTGCAGCTCTGTCGCCTTCACCTTCTCTCCCTGTGAGGGGTGTTGGTATGGGGGTTAAGAGGAGGAGAGGGGAGGCACAGGCAAGTGAGTGGATCTAGAGGCTGTGGGGACAGACAATGCAATCAGTGGCTGAGTGGCTTTGGCTGCACACACTCTGGCATTTGAATTGCAGCTTCACCATTCACTGCCTGTGTGATCTCAGGACAGTCACTTAGTATCTCTGTGCTTTGGTTTCCATGTCTGTCAAAACAGGATAACAGCAGCGGGGGGGTGGGGGGGTGGGTAGAGTTTTTATGTTTTATGGAGGACTGACATAAGGTGTGGACGTTGGACTCTAGTGAGTGCTAGCAGTGTGGGTTTGTGTAGGCAGATGCTCATATTCCCAGTAGGATTGTGACTTCAACCCTCACATAAAATCCAGGACACGCAAACAAGCTTCATGGCTCTCTTCTTGTCTTTGTGCGGGCAGATGAGGACAGCCCGTCTGAGGAGAACAGTGACTTGAAGGAGTCCCCCATTCTGGGCAAGAGGAAGAAGCGGCGGCACAGGTACAGGGTGGGCTGTTCTCTCTGGCCACCTTTCCTGGGGACCCCGCACCCGAGGACTCATGGCCCTGGGATATGGCAGCGTCCCTTGTAACTCCTAGCGGGCAGGAGGAAGGGCACAGCATCCACCAGGGGGCGATAAGCCTCCAACTCCCAGGAGGCTACGGAACAATCTTCCCAGCAGGCGATAGCCATGGTTTTGTGCATCTGTAAGATGGGTCTTGTCAAAACGAACGGATGAAATTCATTTAGAAAACACGAAAGAATTGTCTTTGTTTGAAGCAGGCTCTGGTTTCTATGGAGGCTGATGGCTAAGAGTGGGATGTCCAGTACTCAGGATGTGGCTTTTGGGCTTGAGCATCATGGTGATGGTGGGGAGCAGTAGGTGGGAAGCCTGCCTTCCCGGCGTGGACTTGAGTGTGTGCTTCTGACTCTCCACAGGACGGTTTTTAGTGCCTTGCAGCTGGAAGAGCTGGAGAAGGCGTTCAGCGAGGCCCACTACCCTGATGTGTATGCCCGGGAAATGCTGGCCATGAAAACTGAGCTCCCAGAAGATCGAATCCAGGTGTGTATGTGTTTCCCACACAAGCCACAAGGGGGCGTGCTATCCCCCACCTGGGCGAGCGCACCCACAGCCACCCCCCACAGCACAATGCGTAGCATCCTTTAGCCAAAGGCACCATGAGAAGATTGTCCCTGGGATCCTCCTGCGTTTTGTCCTTTTACTGTTATTTACTATTGAATCATTCTTTAGATTTCCACAAGAACGTGCGCTAGAAACTGCGCAGATATATCACTGAGAAATCATGGGACTGTCGTCCTTTCTAGAGAAATCAGCTGTCACGATGTGCTGTCATATGGGATGAATGTATGGGCATGTAGGTGTATCCAGCCCCAAAGGGTGACCTGCACACTCATGCACACATATACAATTGCGTGCACACCCACACTCAGGCACACACACGCACGCACGAGAGACTTTTGTTCTCTGTTTTGCCATAGCTGTCCCTAACTCACTCATTTTTTTTTGTTTGTTTGTTTTGTTTGTTTGTTTTTGACAGGCAGAGTGGACAGTGAGAGAGAGAGACAGAGGGAAAGGTCTTCCTTTGCCGTTGGTTCACCCTCCAATGGCCGCCACGGCCAGCGCGCTGCGGCGGGCGCACCGCGCTGATCCGATGGCAGGAGCCAGGAGCCAGGTGCTTTTCCTGGTCTCCCATGGGGTGCAGGGCCCAAGGACCTGGGCCATCCTCCGCTGCACTCCCTGGCCACAGCAGAGAGCTGGCCTGGAAGAGGGGCAACCGGGACAGAATCCGGCGCCCCGACCGGGACTGGAACCCGGTGTGCCGGCGCCGCTAGGCGGAGGATTAGCCTAGTGAGCCGCGGCGCCGGCTCCCTAACTCACTCATTTTTAAAAGCTGCAGCAAGCCCACAAGATTCATTTTACAAACTGCTCCAAAGAACTTTTCCCCATTAATGAAAACAGCAAACATCCGCAGCCCACGCCTTCACCCAAGGCAGCGAGGAAAGAGAGCTTTGATGTCATCGTGCCCATTCCGGATTGCAGAGAAAGCCCTCCAGCCCCCTGCTGGAGCTAGCAGGGCATGCCTGCCCTGCACGGGTGGGAGGCGGACCCGCTTTAGAACTCAGAGCAGGGACGGTTCGGGTCTGCCAGACCACCCTCCTCACCACCTACTCTCTCTGTGTCCTCTCTTGCCTCCATCCAGGTCTGGTTTCAAAACCGGAGGGCCAAGTGGCGCAAGCGGGAGAAGCGGTGGGGCGGCAGCAGCGTGATGGCCGAGTACGGGCTGTATGGGGCCATGGTGCGTCACTGTATCCCGCTGCCTGACTCCGTGCTCAAGGCGGCTGAGGGCGGTCTGCGCGGGGCCTGCGTGCCCTGGCTCCTGGGTAAGGAGAAGGCCCTGGTGTGTGTGTTTGTGTGCATTTGTGTGTACGTGCATGTATGTGTGAACGTACACGCACACCCAGCACAGCCGCTGGTGAAGCAGAGCAATGTCCATGGACACAAATTCAGGCACAGAACCTTGCCTCTAATGTCTGGTGAGTGATAAGGCCTGCAGTGGCTGAGAGTGCCTGATCATTTAACCTAGACACGTGCAGGCAGTGCGTGGAAAGATCCTGTCCAGCTGTTCACAGCTGGGGAACTTATTCGGAGTGCACCTGCGTGTTGAATGCTGTTAGAATGTGTAGAAACCATGTAATTCCGGGGCACAGGTTATAAGAACAGGGCATTGCTGAGCCAGAGACCTAGAGCCAGGACCCTACCCCTGCCCCTGGTTCTGGTTCTGGTTCCGCATTCGCTGCTTTGTGTCTTCTGGGCTGCAAATCTCCTGGGCAGGTCCAGTTTTTGCTTCCCCCAGTGGCGTTGTAGGTTGGGAAGGAGTAGGTGTCTTTGTCCAGCAAACACATCTGGAATATCTACCCAGCAGACTGGTGCAGGAATTCTGGTGTTAGTACTCAACTGGGCTCTGGCTGGGTCCACACCAAGGAAGAATGAAAGACACAGACAGGAAGCAGTGAAGAGCAGAGGCTGCAATGATAAAGGAAAAGGCAGAGAAAATCCTAGGCACCTAGACAGGCTCCTAGAGGAGGAAGCTGTCTGGCGGGCTTTGAGACAGAGTTTTAGCTTGGTAAATGGTGACTTCTTTCGATTGGCTGGCTAAGATGTCAATCTTGCAAGTAAGCCATCAGCCAGTCATCAGGTTCTTTAGCTGTTGTCAGCTGACTTGTTGCAGAGTTCTGGGCAATGAGCTAGATCTTTGGGCTGCTGGAGCAACCTCCCCCACCATGTCTCACCCTGTTCTCTTATTTTTTTTTTTAATTATTTTTATTTTTATTTTTATTTTTTATTTTTTTGACAGGCAGAGTGGACAGTGAGAGAGAGAGACGGAGAGAAAGGTCTTCCTTTGCCATTGGTTCACCCTCCAATGGCCGCCGCAGCCGGCGCGCTGCGGCGGGCGCACCGCGCTGATCCGATGGCAGGAGCCAGGAGCCAGGTGCTTTTCCTGGTCTCCCATGGGGTGCAGGGCCCAAGGACCTGGGCCATCCTCCACTGCACTCCCTGGCCACAGCAGAGAGCTGGCCTGGAAGAGGGGCAACCGGGACAGAATCCGGCGCCCCGACCGGGACTGGAACCGCTAGGCGGAGGATTAGCCTAGTGAGCTGCGGCGCCGGCCCTGTTCTCTTATTGACAGCAGGGGCCAGTACCTTGCCTGCTTGCCAGACTGTAATCTCTTCTCATAAAGAGACCAGAGAGAGAGAAAATGAGGCAGGAGGCCATGCCCACCCATCTGAAGTAGGGAGCCTGCTGGCAGAGCTGTGGGCACCTAGGAAAGTGCTGAGTCACTGTTATCCAAACAGAGTACCTTTGGTGCCGGCCACCAGCCGGCAGCCCTAATGGTGGTAAACACCACCTACCTGACCCTCCCGTAGGTCCCAGAGATAGGCATCGACAATGACAATTTTAAGGAAGAAATGTACTAATTGCTGAATTTTAAGGTGTGTATTTTGTTCTTTTTCACAAGGGATGCATAAAAAATCCACGGAGATGGTAAGGAAACCAGGAAGTGAAGACCGGTTGGCACGACTCTGGGGCCCTGACCATCTCCAGGAAGGCTCCAGCCAGAGTCAGGCAGGGCAGCAAAGAGGCTTGGACAAGGAGAGCTCCAAGAATGCCTTGGAAGACGTAGCCATGGATCTCTCCAGCTCTGCCCGGCAGGAGGCCGAGGAGGTGCAGTGTGCGGCAGGTGCCCGAGGCTGCTCCGACTCCACAGGGCTGGACAGGCTGCAGCCCAGGAAGCTGGGAGCCTCGAGAGACCCACAGGTCCCAGCCACAGAGGCTGCAGAGAGCTGTATCACCCCAGGGCGTTTTCAAAAGAAAAAAGTGGTCTGAGACAAATATTCTCATTTTTACTTTCTCCTTATGCAACATCACCTACTTTAAGAGGACAGATGGGTGACTTAGGGAAAATCCCATTGCATTCTAGAATGGAGACTGTTCCTTGAAGGCACATGAACCAGCAAACTGGGTGTAAAATTCCGATTCTGTTTTGTAGAACTTGATCAGGGATCTGCTGCTGGGCACCGTTTGAGATGTTCACATACAGTGTATAGATTAATAGGTTAGGGCTGACGTCTGAGCTCTGAGTTTGAAAATACGAATACCTGTGACCTTGGGAAGAATCAGATGTCTTGGTAGTGAAGACTCCGTGCAGACCCACGTGTGAATTCTAGTATCTTCATCTTGAACTTGGCCTTGGCTATTTCCCCTCTCTTGTTAAGGGGATGCTTCTGTGTTCTTCCTAGCATCATTTGCCAGGCTATGTGCAGTGGGACTGATGAACAAAACAGCAAGAGAATGAAAGCCATGTTTCCTCTCCCCTTCCATATTGCAGGAGGCCATATTCAGCAGCTGTTGGCCAATGCAGAAAGGGTGTTTCAAGGTCAGACCAGTCTCCTTGGTCTTTCAAAATTTATATTTGGAAGCACTTTAGTGACTTGGGTTTCATGAATGTTTCCTTTCCTGGGTTTCCTTTGTCAATTATTTATTATTTAAAAATAAATGTTCTGTGGAGTGTTTGCTGTTAAGTGCTATCAATCACTGCACTCTTTCTATCAATCACTGTACTGTTTCCATCAATCACTGTTCTGTTTCTTTCAATCACTGTACTCTTTCTATCAATCACTGTACTCTTTCTATCAATCATTGTACTCTTTCTATCATGCACTGCACGTCTCCACTATTGCCAATCCTCTGGTAGCCTCTTCCCTCATATGCTTTTTGATTTTTAAATTTTTATTTTATTTATTTGAGAAAGACAGAGACAGACAGAACTCCCCTCTGCTGGTTCACTCCCCTGCAAACTCAAGAGCCAAGAACTCAATTTAGGTCTCCCACGGGGTGACAGGAACACAATGACTTGAGCCATCACCTGCTGCCTCCCAGGGTGCACATGAACAGGAAGCTGGAAGCAGGAGCCACGCCAGGATTCAAACCTAGGCTCTCTTATACGGGATGGGGGCTTAAGCACCACCCCCAAATGCTTGGCCTGCTTATGGCTTTTTAACCTCGGGAAGGCTAAAGCAGCCATTCTCAGGCTATGCACGTACCAGGTGTTGCTTCGTAAACAGTGGCCATGTCTGATTCACTTTTGGGAGTCCAGAGAGAGATCACATCTTGTTAAGGGGGACATGTGGTGCCTTGTGAAGACAGTGGAGTGGCAGAAGGAAGCAAGGAGGCTGCTACTCTACTCTGTAAGGCAGCATGGGCCTCTGCCCGGCTGGGCCTGGCACTCCCATCTCTCTGGATGAAGAAACAGAACAGCTTTGCCTCCGGCCTGTTTTGCTCAGCTGGTGCTTGTTCTGTGCAAGCTAAATGTTACCCATCACTCACTGTTAAACAGAAAATGATGAGCCTATCTTCCTTTATTTTGTTAAGGCTTTATTTTATTTAATTGAAAAGCAGAGTGGTAGAGAAAGACAGACAAAGGGATCTTTGATCTGCTGGTTTATTCCCCAAATAGCTGTCACAGCTGGAGCTAGAGCTCCATCCAGGTGTCCCAAGTGGGTGCAGGGGCCCAAGTCCTTGGGCCATTCTCTGCTGCTTTCCCAGGTGCATTAGCTGCGAGCTGGATCAGGAGTGAAGCAGCCAGGATTCAAACTGACACTCTGATATGAGATGCCTGCTTTGCAGGCAGTGGTTTAACCCACTGAGGCACAACATCGACCCCACAGGTCATTTTAAATGCATAAGAAAACACTACTCACCACTGACATACATTCTTGATGTAGGGTCAGGTTCTCATGGGAGAACATGCTTTTTTTAAAAAGATTTATTTATTTATTTGAAAGTCAGAGTTACACACAGAGAGAAGGAGAGTCAGAGAGAGAGGTCTTCCATCCACTGGTTCACTCTCCAATTGGCCGCAACGGCTGGAGCTGTGCTGATCCAAAACCAAGAGCCAGGAGCTTCTTCCGGGTCTCCCACGCAGGTGCAGGGGCCCAAGGACTTGAGACATCTTCTACTGCTTTCCCAGGCCACAGGAGAGAGCTGGATTGGAAGTGGAGCAGCTGGAACTCGAACCAGCACCCATATAGGATGCTGGCACTGTAGGTGGCGGCTTTACCTATTATGCCACAGTGCTGGCCCCACAAAAATTCTTTTAAAACCACAGCAAGAAAGCTCCCACTTGCAGGAGGTGTGCTTGGCCTATGCCCACTGCCTGCAGTCTCCCACATGTGCCCATTGGATAACTGGCACGAGGGCTCTTCAACACACAGTCCCCTTATGTCCCTGCCCGAATCACCAGCAGGTCAGACTGGAGTCTGGCCACAGGAAATAACTCAGGATGAACTTCTTTCAGTTTTCAAAAGGGTTTGGCAACAGAGATGTGGGCGTCAACATCCTGAAGGAGATTTCCAAAAATTACAATTTGCGAACAGCCAATTTGGAAAGCATCCTAATGGGAATCTGTGCCCAATGCTGCCAGCTGCCCGGCGGTGACAGGAGGTGGCAGTCGATGTTGGGAAACATTGAGGGACTATGCAGAGGTTTTCATAAGTGACTGAAGAACAAGATGGAGCAATGGATGCCTCTTGCTTGGACGGCCGTGTAGCTAGCAACAAACAACGCAGTCCACTCGCTAACACCTTGTGCTCTGCTGCGGTCCTCACAGTGGATGAGAAAGGAAGTGAACTTGCCGATTGTCCAATGTGTCAGAAGCGCACAGCCAAGAAGAGCTAAGACAGCCTTGACAGGCAGGGTGAGGGACTTGACCACGGAGCAGGGCTGTGATAGGCTGTGACAATGATGGCTGCGTAATCCTGGCCGTGCACTGATCCCTGGCCGTGCACAGACCCAGAAGCAGGGTTTACCTGGGGATGAGTTATTGGGACAACTGTTCCCACACATGAGGAAAGATGGAACTTACCTGTATTGACACCTCACAAGGAAACACTCCCAAATGTGCTATCAACAGAAGTGTGGGGCAGAGAGAGAGAGAGAGGGAGAGGGAGAGAGAGGGAGGGAGAGGGAGAGGAAGAGAGAGAGAGGGAGAGGGAGGGAGAGAGAGGGAGAGAGATAGAGAGAAATAGAGAGAGAGAGGGAGAGAGAGGGAGAGGAAGAGAGAGAGAGGGAGAGGGAGGGAGAGAGAAGGAGAGAGAGAGAGAGAGGGAGAGGGAGAGAGAGAGAGAGAGGCACATCCATCTACTGATTCACTCCCTAAATGCCCGCAGTAGCCAGGGTTGAAGCTGGGAGCCAGGAACTCAATCCAGGTCTTGCATTGGCATCAGAAGTCAGAGCAGGGAACTGACCCTAGGCCTTCCAGTTTGGGTCACAGGTGTCTCAACCTCTGGACTTCACCACTAAGCACCCATCCAGGTAAAGCTTTTAGAGGTTTTGGTTTAGGAGATGCTCCAGGTACCTCCAAAATGTGGCTTAACACAATTGTTTTATTTGACTTACAATTTTTATGAGTCTCTCTCCCTCTCACTCTCTCTCCACCTACACACACACACTCATTGGTGGATATGTTATATACACAATCCACCCCTTTATCTATCTCTCTCTCTCTCTCTTTTAAGATTTTATTTATTTATTTGAGAGGTAGAGTTACAGACAGTGAGAGGGAGAGACAGAGAGAAAGGTCTTCCATCCGCTGGTTCACTCCCCAAATGGCTGTAAAGACTGGAGTTGCGTGGGTCTGAAGCCAGGAGCCAGAAAGTTCTTCCAGGTCTCCCACAAGGCTGCAGGGGCCCAAGTGCTCAGACCATCCTCCACTGCTTTCCCAGGCCACAGCAGACAGCTGGATCAGAAGAGGAGCAGGGGCTAGAACCAGCACCCATATGGGATGCCGGCACTGCAGGCAGATTAACCTACTGAGCCACAGTGCCAACTCCCCCCGCCCCTTTATCTCTTAATACTGTGTGTCTTTCTAAGAATCAGAACATTTTCTTACATAACCTGAATAGTTATCAACTTCTTAATACCTACATGCAGTACTTTAACTTAAATCTCAATACCATATTCCAAACATGAATAGGATACCTGATTCTAAATCGAAGCACGATTTTATCCAACATAATGCACTTTCAAATACAACATCCAACACGCATAACACAGGATATTCTAATCTGAATACCACACTTTCCTCTAAGGCGACACAGCATTGGTTACAATATTCTAAACCTGAAACGGAGACTAGTTTCTGACCCACACTGCAGCTGGTCTAGAGTTGTGTAGCCGGTTGAACTGTCCTGCTCCTTAAATCCGGAACAAGCCTCAGCCTCTTGGTCTTTGAGAATAAAACCCAGGCCACAGCAAGGGCGAAGCAACAGCAGCAGCAAACTGCTCACCCGGAAACACCTGTCCTTGTCACGTGTCCACCGGCCTGCACCGTGGCTGCAGGGAGTCCCACCCCAAAGAGCGGGGTGCTGCTCCTGGAGTCTGGTCCAAGAGCGCTGGTGGCCAGCTGCCTCCTCCCAGCCTCCCCTCTCAATAAACAGTGAACAGGCGCCCCCTGTTGGCGCTCACGGTTGACAGCGTCAGTCTCGACTCCAGGCGCCCCAGGGGATGGGGGCGGGGAGGAAATAGGGGCGGGAATGACCTTAGAAGGTCCAGGAATTCATTTGGCCTGGCCCTCCCAAGGCACCCGCCGGCAGGACTGGAAATTCAATCTCCAGCAGGGTAATTTGTAAGTTGATCATTTTGCAAGGCCCCAAAAATGGTGCTATAATTATCCACATGGCCCTGGGCAGGAAAGAAGTTTCCCCACCGCTGCAACTCACAGCCCAACATCTGTGTGGGGACAGATTTCTCTTCTGCCCCTCCTGTGAGTCCCCAGCTCACAGCTGTGGTCGCCTCCTCCTGGAAGCCCCGTCACAGCCCAGCTTTCACATAGAATTGTTCAGCCTCCTGTGAGTGTGCTCCGGGTTTTCTTCACTGTTAGGTAGGAAGTCAGTGATGAGCTTATGTGTGTGTGACATAAAGGCCTAAAGAGAAGACATCTATGTCCAGCATATGCATCTGCATCTCCAAGTCATCCTGACAATGTTTCAGGGGCAGCCCGGTATTCGAATCCTGCCCTGCCCCCTTCTACCTGATAACCTGCCAGGTGGAGGTCCCCGCCCCTTCTGCCAGACACATCTTCCACAATCTCCCAGGTGCAGCCCAGTATCTGCATTTCAAATACCCTGCTCCAGATCCCCGTTCTCCAGGGGGTCTTGCTCACCCTTCCTCTAAACTCAGGATGGCGCCAGATAGGCTTCTTCCTGTCTGATACCTTAGGGGAAAACTCAGAGAGAAGTTTTTCTATTTACATCTAAAAAGCCCTTTCCAAGAGGAGCTGAGGTGGGGAAGCAAGACCCATCTCCTTACCCCCCCCCCCCCCCCCCCCCGCCTCAACCGGACTGCGCGCTCAGCCCTCTGCCTCTGCTGAGACGCCCGCCTGCCTGGCCAGGTGTAATCTTTCCACTCAATCATGTAACCTTGCCCCACCCCAGTCCGAGCGATGGCACTCTTTCCCAGGTCGTGTCTGGAGAGGTGCCTATTCATCCTTATGGATGTCCCTGCCCTAATAA